CAAAGTGGATTCAATTGATAAAAGAAGAAATGGAGGCGCTACAGAAAAATAAAACATGGAATCTTGTTCCACTACCAAAAGGAAAAAAGACAATTGGGTGCAAACGGGTTTTCTCCATTAAACATAAGGCGGATGGATCTATTGAAAGATACAAGGCAAGACTTGTGACAAAGGGATATAGACAAACCTATGGCATATGCTATCAAGAGACCTTTTCCCCGACGGTGAAACTGAACACTATCAGGGTCTTGTTGTCTCTTGCTGCAAATTTAGACTGGCCATTGCACAGATTTGATGTAAATAACGCTTTTCTTCATGGCGACCTTGAGGAGATTATTTATATGGATATTCCACCAGGGTACACTGCTTCCTAAAAAATAGGGGTTGTGTGTAAGTTGCAATGTTCATTATATGGTCTAAAACAATCACCCCACGCATGGTTTGGATGATTCGGCTTGGCTATGAAGAAGTATGGTTTCTACTAGAGTAATTCAGATCATACTCTATTCTTGAAACGACAACAGGGAAAGGTAACAGCTTTAATAATCTATGTGGATGACATGAGATTAGCAACCAAGTTTGAAATGAAGAATCTTGGGGGTCTCAAGTATTTCTTAGGGATTTAAGTAGCCATATCAAAAAATGGTATATTTCTTTCTCAAAGGAAATATGTGCTAGATTTATTGTTTGAAGTGGGATTGTTAAACCGCAAGCCAGCTGATACTTCGATTGTTTAGAATCACAAGCTTGGGGAGTATCCAAATCAGGTTCCAACTAATAAGGAGAGGTATCAAAGATTAGTGGGTAAGTTAATCTATTTATCCCATACTCTTCCAGATACCGCTTATGCCGTAAGTGTAGTCAGTCAATTTATGCATTCACCTAGTGAAGATCATATGGATGCGGTAGTTCGAATTCTTCATTACTTGAAGTCTGCTCCAGCGAAAGGACTTTTGTTCTCAAAGAATAATCATCTTAATATTGAGGATTATACAGACGCAAACTGGGCAGGAAGTGTTTTTGACAAGAAGTCTACATCAGGCTACTTCACCTTCGTAGGAGGCAATCTTGTCAAGTGGAGGAGCAAGAAGCAGAAGGTAGTGGCATTATCCAGTGCTGAGGCCGAGTTCAGAGGAATGGTCAAAGGACTTTGTGAACTTCTTTGGCTTAAGAGATTGTTGACTTAGATTGGTTTTGCTCCCAATTCTGAGATGAGGTTATTTTGTGACAATAAGGCGGCCATCGATATTTCTCATAATCCAGTCCAGCATGATCGTACTAAACACATCGAGGTAGACCGACATTTCATCAAACAAAACCTTGATGTCAAGATAGTTCGATTTCCATTTGTTAAATCTGAAGACCAACTGACGGGTATACTCATGAAGGATGTCTCTAGCAAGATCTTCTACAACTCACTTGACAAGTTAGGCATTAGTGATATCTATGTACCAACTTGAGGGGGAGTGTTGGCGTAAGTTGTCAATTAAGACTAATTGGAGAAATTATAGGGCTAATTAGTTGCTAAAATTGTTTTGCGTAATGTCCTTATTTTGAGGATCAACCAGATTCTTAACCTAAGATAGTGCATAGCTTAGAATAGTTTTTTGGGTAGTTTTTTCTCTGTACAACTATATATATTTTTGTATTCATTCAGAAAAGAAATAGAGAGAAAAACTTCTATGTTCATCAGTTAGCTCGTTACACCACGTCAATAGTCTAATCTCGTCAAATACCATTTTCTAAGCATCGAGGTGGGTCCAAACTCCGTCCATCTCGACGGATGAAAAACCTGTACAGAATTTAATGGGCTGCATAATGAAATCAATTAGTATTACAGGACCCTACAATCCTCGATCTTTTTTCTTAAATGTTCTTCGCAATGAGATAAACTATTGACATTTCATTTTAAATCGTTCCTATGTTTTGTCGCCCCAAATGGAACTCAAAGCATAATTAAAATCAAGTGATGAATTGGTCTAATTAATTTTACTATCAACGCTCAAGTTACCTTTATTTCCTTAAGGGTCCAAGAAAAGTTCATGTTTGCCCGAATTTGAACAGCTCTTCTTCATTATAAAGCCCGATTATGCTTGAACTTCCATTCCATATCAATTGGGCAAACTGTTGATTGGCCCCTTCAGTCAGATGGTTGTCAAAAAATAATTATTTTTCGGGACGACAGCACAATGAATATTCTTTCACTCCTCTCTTGCTTTCGCAACTTGGATTCGCTCTATATAGATCCGAACCACAACGTGCCATTTTCGCCTCCACAAAGCCTGAAATTAATTTTAAACTAAAAGACGCTCTCACTTTTTCATTGTCTATATAAGATGTAAGCATGTTTAAGGTTAGAAAGACTAAGACTTGTATTACCGACCGTATTTCGAGGGTTTCGGATTCTATTACGGGCTGAAGCGTGGAAGTCAAAGTAGGAGTACTTGAATCCTCGTAGTTTGAGCCTCTAGCTATGTGAGAATCGAAACGAGAGCTATGTTGGGAAGCTTTGCAAGCTCATTGGCAATACTTGAGCGAGTTATGTGAGGTCGGTGGGTTTGATACAGCCAATGAAGCAATGTCAAAAAAGAAAGATCAATATTTTAGATGGATCACACGTTTGAGGTACTTATTTGGAGAGGGCTAAGAAGCCCGCCGTCTTCAAAAGAGCGATGCTAAGCAACCTAAAACTGGTCGACAAGATGGATATATTAAATGGGTTACACATTCAATACCCAATAAGAATCTGTCCCATCAATTAGTATACTAATAACATTCATAGGCCTAGGCTCGGTCCATCTTGGGGGAATGAATGGATTATCAATCTGGCCTTTAATTTAATGGGCTGCATAATGCAATCGGCGCTCTTCCTTCTTCTTTTTTTGAGTTTTCGTTGGTAATTTTTCTCCATTTCAGTTGCTTAATGTTTAACCTCATCTTAAGAACACTCATTGTGTTGTGGGCCTTTGAAATGTAGTTAGAAACATAGAACAAAGCAATAATCAATCGCATTTATTCGAACTTTTCCCAAAACTTTCAAGGAATTCAAGTTTGTCCACCTTTGAACAATGCTTGAGCTCATTTGAACATCCCTCGTTCTTTAATGGAAGTGCAACCATACATCAATCCAAAACTATGCCCCGTTATTCATATTTGACATTTGAGCTGGTTGTGGTTATTCACCAACATTTTCGAAAAAAAAAATTCAAACACCTCGTATTTGAACAATGCTTCTAGGTTGTGAGGTCTAACAACACTCAGACTCCCATTCCACATCAAGTGTGCAAATTGCTGGTTAGCCCTCTCACTTGGATGGTAGGTATCAAAGAATACGTACTTCTTGGGATGACGACATAATAAATATTCTTTCACTCCTCTCTTGCCTCCACAGGTCGAATTCGCCCTATAAGGACCTGAACCCGCAACACGCGTTTTCCGCTTCCTTAAAACCTTGATCGATTTCACATATCGAAAATAAGGACTTCTATTCAGTACACGAGCGATGTAAAAAGTACAAATCCACAAGCGGTATAGAAGGAATGATGATTAAACTAAAGCAAAATTAGGTGCACCAGAGCATAAATAACTTACCATATTTCGATGGGTATTGGATTCTCTCACTGCCTGAAGTGTAGAGGTCGAAGTAGGAGTACTCGAATCCTCGGAGTTGAGTCTCCAACTTTGTGAGAATTGAAGTAAGAGCAATGTTGTGAAGCTTGGCGAGCTTGATGGCTTCACCTGAGCAAGAACCATTTCTGGTTAATGGTCTCATACCTGGCACACACCCAAGTGGCCCTATCCCAGTCATTGCAAATTTTCTTCCTCCTACTTTATATATTCCCTGAAAAAACATTATAAATCTATTCAGTATTCATCCACTTTGAAAGATTGGTTAATGGACATAGAGTTTGGTTAATACCTTGAGCACGGTGGTGATGTTACGGTAACATCAAGCTCAAAATGGAGTGATTGGTAACAATTGAAAATTTATGAATTATATTGTATATTTGTTCATAATTCAGAGACGATTTCTATTATTATTCTAGGAAACAACGGTACTGGACTGATGACAGTTGCATTAATTACACTGATTCTCTACTTTTGTTGCCATCTTGAGATGCGACAAAACATAGGTATCACATGTCTCGTGAAGAATGCTGTTGTTGGCATGTGGTGCAGTTATTAGACTTGCCAAATTGCCACAGAACGACTACTACGCCCGGCTGGGCGAGGGACCATGGACAGTGACAGGCCAATCTTTTCCCCCCTGTTCCGTTTGATCGTGAAAGATCCCAAGAGACACTGTTTTCCTCGTGTACTAAGATAATTAAAAAGAGAAAATGTGTGTGGTTAATCGTTTCTTATTATGGACATCTGTGCATGCAAAACAGAGTGCATATTTCGAAAATGCAGTCATTTTGACCGTGATCAAAGATCATATGAAACAATTAACCACACACATTTTCTCTTTTTAATTATCTTAGTACACGAGGAAAACAGTGTCTCTTGGGATCTTTCACGATCAAACGGAACAGGGGGGAAAAGATTGGCCTGTCACTGTCCATGGTCCCTCGCCCAGCCGGGCGTAGTAGTCGTTCTGTGGCAATTTGGCAAGTCTAATAACTGCATCACATGCCAACAACAGCATTCTTCACGAGACATGTGATACCTATGTTTTGTCGCATCTCAAGATGGCAACAAAAGTAGAGAATCAGTGTAATTAATGCAACTGTCATCAGTCCAGTACCTTTGTTTCCTAGAATAATAATAGAAATCGTCTCTGAATTATGAACAAATATACAATATAATTCATAAATTTTCAATTTGTTTAATGTAATCTTTAGACTTTAACCCAATGTGCAATACGATCCTTGAACTTTTAATTTGTTTAATGTAGTCCATGAACTTTTGATACATATTCAAACTAGTCCATGAACTATATGAAAAGTTCAAAGTGAAAAAATTAAAGTTCATGGATTACTTTGCACATTGAACCCAAGTTTAAAGAACATTTGTGTCATTTTCTCTAATTTTTGCCCAATTTCGATCAATGCTTTTATATTACAAGGCCCAATGATACTTGAACTTTCGTTCCACATCAATTGGGCAAACTAGTTATTGGCCCTTTCGGTCGGTTGGTTATCGAAGAATAAGAACCTTTCGGGACGACGGCACAATGAATATTCTTTCACTCATCTCTTGCCTCTGCAACTTGGATTCGCCTTATACGGGCCCGAACCACGGCATGCCATTTTCGCCTCCCTGAACCCTGAAATTAATTTTAGAAGAAAAGATCCCTCGACTTTTCACTGTCTGTATAAATATGTAAGCATAATGAAGGTCAGAAAGACTTGTATTACTGACCATGTTTCGATGGGTTTCGGATTCTATCCCGGGCTGAAGTGTAGAAGTCAAAGTAGGAGCACTTGAATCCTTGTAGTTGAGTCTCCAGCTTCGTGAGAATTTATATGAGAGTTCTGTTGTGAAGCTTTGCGAGCTCATTGGCAATGCTCGAGTAAGAACCATTCCCGGTTGATTGTCTCGTGGATGGAATACATCAAATATTTCGCATCCCAATCATTCCAAATTTCCTCCCTTCAATTTCATAAATATCCTAAAAAAAGGAAAAATTCAAATAGTTATTGGTTAGGACAATTAGGAAAGGTTAATTTAGTCCACATTAGAGGATAAAGTTCCATATGCTTAGCCCCGGATCAAGAAGTAAACCTTCTAGGAATGTATGAATGCTCAAATGTGCTTACCTTGAGCAAGCTGGTGAATTGGTGATGTTTCCAATCACCATCCCTACATAATCTTCCATTGAATAGGACTCAAACAGAGTGAGATTGCGATAAATCGGCATCTAGGTAATCGTTGCTTCTGATGCTAATCAAATAAATAGCCTCACCTACTGTTTGCAGACGACTCAATATTTTTCTTGGATGGGACTAAGATTCTGAATAGGTATTGCTTCGCTTCAGGCCAGGCCACTAACTTAAACAAATCCTGGCTGTACTTCAGTAAAAATTACCCCTATAGACTCCGACAGAATCTGCTGGCAGAATTGCGTGTCCCAGAAATAGAAAAAACTCGGAAGTATTTAGGAATACCTTCGGATTGGGGTGAATCGAAAAAACGGATGTTTGCCTAGATATTAGCTAGAGTGAACACGAAGTTAGAAGGATGGAAGGAAAAACTGATTTCAAGGGCAGGAAAAGAGACCCTCATTAAAGCAGTAGCGCAGGCTCTCCCACAGTATGCCATGTCAGTCTTTAAAATTCCAGTTTCTATTTGCCGGAGCATTGAAAAGAGAATTGCTAATTTATGGTGGAAAATTAGTGAACGGAAATCTGGATTACACTGGAAAAAGTGGGATACACTCAAGACTAGAAAAGATAATGGAGGGCTAGGCTTTCATGACCTTACCTCGGATCTGGAAAGGCCCGGGGTCGGAGAATCCCTCCAAATTAATATCGACGGATCTTTTTCTACCAGGAACGATGGAAGGAGCTATCAGTTGCGTCTGCAGGAACTGTCACGGAGAGATGGTGGACGGCTTTGCAGAGATGGTCAGGGTGCACCCAGCCGAGCAAAGCCAAGACTTTGGCCATGATCGAAACCCTCAAATTTCTGTCAACTAGATCTGTGGTCGAAGTATCTAGCAGCTCTGGTCAGCGAGGCCATAAGCCTTCTTGCGGGGTTCGCTAACTACTTAAGCCTAGCCCCATTGCAAAAGGGAGGAGAATAGGGTCGCGGATTGGATAGCAAAATTCTCGTAGGATTGGGTCTCTTCCTCTTAATTGGTTATCGAGCCCACCGGAATCCCTGCGGGCCTTTACTTTGTTCTGATTCATGTCTTTTGTTCTCAAAACTCTTTAAGTTAATGCAATCGTTTTTTTTTTCCCGACCAAAAAAAGAAATTTCCCGACCAAAATATATATATATATATATATATATATATATAAGTAAATAGCCCCCAAAATTACTTGCTTTTTGCCTACTCATTCGCTAATCTCTTACTTAAACTTCTTCTCTAGCTTCTCAAACTGCATGCATCATGAAATTCGTCACCTAAAAACCAGCCCAAAGAAAATAACTCGAAATTATTTGAATCTCGTGTAAGAAAATAGAAGAGAGATGGCATTATTACATAAAAATCGTTCATACGTATCAATCAAAGCACTGGCTCCTCTACTCCTAAACCTGTTGATAATCTTTCAATGTAGTCCATTTAACCAATTTTGGCCTAAAAATCGATGATGTGGTAATCTAACCAGCACCGGCTGTCCTATATGGCACGGCCTGTGGCTAACCAGTGTTGAGATGGATGATCTTTGCAATTTCTTTAATATTTTAATTTTTTTTCCTTCTCTTTTTTTCTTGTTTTCCTATTCTTTCTTGTTCATCTTCCTGAAAAGAAGTTCATCGGGGTCTCGGCAATGGCCCGCTGGCGACCCTCACCACAGCCTTAGCAAGGGTCGCGGCCCTCGCTGAAGAGAGATCTCGTAATTGGTCGTATTCTCCGGCGGCATGTTCGTGATTACTGTCTCCATAAGCTCTCTTTGTTTGCTCTTCGAAGGCACCGAAGAAGAGGACAACAACAATGGCAGCTTCCATTGTGGCTCGCGGATATGTCACTTCTTTGGATGATTGTTTGACAAGTAATGTGAGGTGGGCGTGCTTGATAAAGCCAATGACGCAATGACAAAAAAATTCGTGACTAAGGCTCCGTTTGTTTCATGAAGACGAATGATTTAGAAAATATCTTCCTAAAACTTATTGCTTATATCGTTTGAAATAATTAGTCGATAAAAAATATTTTTATTATTGACAACAGTTTATAACTAAACATTTTCATGAACAATGAAAATATTTTTCGTTCTTTCACATTAATAAACTATACAAGTAATCATTTTAAAAAATATATTTTTTTTCAAAATCCTTTATTTTCTGTGAAACAATCGGAGCCTAAGACAAAATTGGCAAAAGGAGCACAAAGGCTATAGAGTTTCAAGATATAACAAAAATCAACCAATGAGAAAAATGATTAAAAGACATATTTAGCTCGTATAAACAGTAACTACAATAATATCCGCTAAATTCATGCAAACTAAATAATAATAATAAAAATAAAAATAAAAATAAAAATAATAATAGTAATAAAAATAATAAAAAATAATAATAATAAAAAGCTGCAAAGTATAACAAATCAGATAAAGGTTCCAATTTTCTGGCCCAAAAAAAAGAAGGCAAAGGTACTAATTTGAAGAGGGCTAAAAAGCCCGCCGTTTTCGGAAGAGCAACACTAAGCAACCTAAAACTAATCTACAAGATCGATATATTAAAGAGGTCGCACATTCGAACCAAATAGCAGTTTGTCTGATCAATTAGTATACTAATTTTATAGGTGATTTTAACATAAATATTGTTTCTCGGGAGATTTCATGAACTTCCTAAACGTAATAGTAGGACTGGGCTCGGTTCATCTAGGAGGAATGAAAGAATAATCAATATGACCCATAGTTTAATGGGCCGCACAACGCAATTGACTCTCTTCCCTCTTCCTTTTTCTGAGTTTTTTTAATTCTTAATTCTTTAGGACTGATTTTAAGCATAAATTTTCCGTTGGCTTATTTCCCTAAGCGATCCAAACGCCAGAAAATGAGGAAAATGTTTTTCCAGAAGATGTTTTTCGCGAAACAAACATAGCCTTAATATCAGTTCTTTATCATTTTATTTTTACCACATCTTAAGAATGTCATCATGTTTTGGCCCTTAGAATGCGTTTAAAAGCATGGAATCAAGCAATAATCAGTCTCATTTTTCGGACTTTTCCCGAAACTTATAAAGCATTCAAGTCTATTGCCATTCGAACAATACTAGGACTCATTTGAACATCCTCATTCTATATCAGAAGTGCAAACATACAATCAATCCAACATCATGCCTCGTCATTCATAGTTTGATGTTCGAGTGGGATGTGGTTATTTACCTACAATTCTAGATAATTATAAAATTTAAACACCCTCAAGTTTGAACAATGCTTCCAGGTTGTGAGTTTTGATTACACTGAGACTCCCATGCCACATTAATTGCGTAACTTGCCGGTTAGCCCTCTCACTGGGATAGTTGGCATCAAAGAACACGTACTTCTTCGGATGATGACATAATGAATATTCCTCCACTCTTCTCTTGCCTCCATAGGTCGGTCCTGCCCTATAAGGGCCTGAATCACAACACGCAGTTTTCGCTTCCTTAAAACCTAAATCAATTTCACATTTCAAAAGTAAGGACTTCCATTTAGTACACGAGCGATCTAACAATTATGAATCCATAAGTGGTATAGATAAAATGGTGATTAAGCAAAATTAAGTGCACCTGAGCAAAAATAACTAACCATATTTTGATGGATTTTTTATACTGTCACTGCCTGTGGTGTAGAAGTCGAAGTAGGAGTACTCGAATCCTTGTAGTTGAGTCTCCAGCTTTGTGAGAATTGAAGGAAGTGCAATGTTGAGAAGCTTTGCAAGTTTGTTGGCTTTGCCTGAGCAAGTTCCATTTCTGGTCAATGTTCTCATGGCTGGCACACACCCAATTGGCCCTAGTCCAATCATTGCAAATTTTCTTCCTCCTGCTTTGTATTTTCCCTGAAAAGAAAAATCAGAAAGCCAAAATCATCCCTCTTAAAATGCCATAACAATTGACAGATAGTATATGTAAGTAGAGGAGTGTGCCTTTAAGATTGCTCGGGAGATGAACTAATCGAATACACTCGGATACCACCTGACTATTAGATAAAAGGCACCCAAATAATTACGCAATCCTATACTTGTAACGCACACGGAGCTATATAACTAATAATCAACTAAGTGATATTATAGATTTTTATTGGATATCAAATCACGGCCTAGATTTATATTGGATCGCATTTCGTGTTCACTAGTCAATTTGGATTACAAACTCGTGTTTGATTATGTCATCATAATATATATATCTCTATTGAACATAAAGAATATCATGTAGTTCAAACTGTGCCATTTTCGAATATGCCAATTTACATCAGCTTTTGCATGTAAATATGTCGGGAAAAGTGTCAAAAAATCTTAAACCTTTTACATTGATGCCAATTTAATCTTAAATCTTTTTTTTTTGCCAATTCAGTTTTAAACAATTTGTCTTTGTGCCAATTCAGTCCTTTCGGCTATTTTTGGCCGGATTTTGCTGACGTAGGCGCCGGCCGGCCTACGTGGCACCGCCGGCGATGACGTGGACAACTTTAAATAATGTTTTAATATTTTTCGATTTTTAAATTTTTTAAATTTTTTTTTTTTTTTATCCTTTCTTCTTCCTCCAGCTGGCGAGCCCCGCTGGCCAATGGCGAGACTCGCCCCGCTGGCCACTGGCAAGGCTCGCCCTTGCCAGCGTTGGCGAAGGTGAGCCATGCCAGCAGCTGGGCGAGGCACGACCTCACCGGATCTGGCGAGGGTCGGGCCTCGCCTGCCATGGGTGAGGCCTGACCTCGCCAGATCCGGCGAGGGCAGGGTTGCGAGGGCTTGAGCCTCGCGCTGGGCTAGGCGAGGCGCGACCTCTCCGAATTTAGCAAGGTCGGGCCTCCCCCTTGGCCGGCAAGGCTTAATCCTCGCCAGATCCGGCGAGGGTCGAGCCTCACCGCCCTCGCCAGTGGCCGACAAGGCGGGGCTCGCCAGAGGCTGGCGAACCTCGCTGGCTTTGGCCTCCAGCCGGTTGCCGGATTGGCGACCGGCTGGAGGAAGAAGAAAGGGTAAGAAAAAAAAGAAAAAGAAAAGAAAAGAAATTAAAAATAAATAAATAAATTCGAAAAAATATTAAAATATTATTAAAATTTGTCCACATTATCGCCGGTAGTGCCACGTAGGCCGGCCGGTATCCACGTCAGCAATATCCTGCCAAAATTAGCTGAAATGACTGAATTGGCACAAAGACTAAAGGTTTAGGAGTGAATTGGCATAAAAAAAAGGTTTATGACTAAATTGACACCACTGTAAAAGGTTTAGAACTTTTCTAATACTTTTCTGCAGTTTTTTTGGTCGGTATTCTAAGTACAATTAAAAGTCCAATTCTTTCGAAATTCTTGACATGCTATTCGTATGCTGACAATCATTATCCATGAGGAGTTGTAACCTCCAAGGCCGCTGAGGCGATGGACCGTCATCTGGTATATTTGCCTTCTTTTGACATTTCAATCCATATATATTCACTTTTCTTCAACATTTAGCTGCATCTCAAGATGGCTAACACTATGCACATTTCGTCGACGAGCTTTGCTGCACTTCTCAACTATTCGTCGACGTTGACATTGCGTATCTGTCGATTTCTGCACATAGATGTCAATGTCCATAGTTGTCAACTATCCGATAACATTATTTTCATTGACCAATCTCAATATATCGATTAAGCCCTATTGCTCATCGATCACAAAGATTTATTCATTTTTTTGTGTAAACAAGTTGACACGTCACTCCCCCATCAATGGCCTTTGAGATTCACTTGTTGTTTCTTCAATCACGCCAAGCCAGACAAAGATAACTTAATTAAAAGACGCAAAAGATTACCCATGATAGAAAAATATCAAATGTGAATTTCTCTTTTATTTTTCAGTTGATGTTGGTCTATATTAGGAGAGACCGTAATGCTAAAGGGAGCTGAGTCGTGACTCGGATGAATTAGCTATGAAGTAGAGTTGCGTTTGAGTTTGAGTTCAGTCACGGTGGCTAATGAAAAAAAAATTGGACCGAGGAATCAAAACTACAAGCTATATAAATCATCAGCCAATGGATCTACTAAAGAAAATGACTCTGATTTATCCGTAGAGCCTCACACCTCATAAAAAATGTAAATGCTACTAGACCAATCATGCCAAAGATAACAATAGGCCCGTTTGGTTCAGTATTTGGCCTAGCATTGGCCAAATGCTAGTATTTGGAATGCCGAAAGCCCAAAGCTGGTCCGGACCAGCTTTGGGCTTTCGGCATTCCACAAATACTGAACCCAAATTTTTTGTCCCCAAACTACCCTCACTTATTTTGGTTTATTCCAGTTTTGCCTCTCTTGTTACTGTTCATCTTCTTCGCGAGGGAGGCCGGCGAGGGCGGTCGACACCGAATCAGGCCGGCGAGGTCGCACGACCCAGGCGACGGCCGCTTGAGGTCGTGCGACCACAGGCGGCCGTCGCCTGGGTCGTGTGACCCTAGCCGAGGGTCGCCTGGCCTTGGGCGACGGCCGGCGGCCGCAAATCTGGCTCGCCGAGGGTTGCCTGACCTCGGGCAACGGCCACCGGCGCCAGATCTAGCTTGCCGGAAGGCCGGCTCTGGCTAAGGGTAAGGTAGGTTTTTTTTTTTAAATAAAAAAGATAATTCCCAAAGCCCTTTTGCAAAATAAAATTTACCAAACATTACTTGGCTCAAAGTAGCTTTACAAATGATTTTTTTACCAAACGCCACTTGCATTTCTCCAAGGGGCTTTAACCTAAAGGTATTTGCATTCCCCAAAGTAGCATTTCAAAAGCTGAACCAAACGGGCCCTATATGGATTACATTCGGATCTAACAAAAGAACTGAGTCCTGCAATCTGTAAACAAGCAGGCATTGTACTGTAGGCTCATATGGGATTATGTGCACAATTGCATTTGCGCCCAGTGTGCTTGGGGAGACGCGGCTTCACTTCATATGCTTGAGAGACGACACGAGAACCTTAACTTTGCAATCAACATCGAGTTCCGATGATATGCTTAAATCGGATGCATCGACCTCCGGACTGCCATGGATCATAATGTCAAAGACTCCTTGGGCAAGTAGAAACATTGATGAGCATCATAATTGCCATGTTAAAAGGCAAAAGAGTTTGCAAGAAACGGCTTGCTTAACTTAATATAATTGCCATGTGAAGCGAATTATATGGAAGTAAGCTTCCCTCTGAAAAAAGGATTAAAGAGTGCAGTAGCATGTTAAACCTTGAATTCCAAGGGGGCCATATGAGAATTTAGAAACCTAGTGCGTTGATAGAGAAAATGATCCAGAGTGGAATGATTTCAGATATCGATTCATTAGTAAAAAAATTTCTCCTACTTTTGAATTACCGAAGCAAGTACTTTATGTAAGAATCGAAGCGGACCCCTCGTTATATGGTCCACTTAAGATATAATACTGGCTTGCCTGAGTTTGTGGTGACAAGTTGTGAATACTGTGATTCCAGGTTCTATCTGGGGAAAGTATCTTATTACTAAATCCCATAGCACTAATTTGCCATCTTTCTTAGCGTGCATAGAGTTGAGTTGCGCTGAGTCACTAGTTACATGATGGCAGGATTGGTCCAGAAATGGCAATTGCCATCAAACAGAATTGTTTCTGCTTCGATTCTCCTTAAAGCTCTTATATGAAATAACAATCAATCGACTCTTCATTAGTAGTCAAAACTCGTAGTAAGAGAAAACTTGACTTGAGGACTGCATGACGTGCACTTCGCGATCAGTTATCCAGATTATGCTGGAACTAGAATCAGAGATACAAAATAAATCCTGAGAAGAGTTTGTACTGGGCTTAAACATCGAGTACGGTAATTATTGAGATAATCTATTTGATAGAGTCTGCATAAGTTGCATTGATGAAATTAAACAAGGAATTAACATAGACTACGGGAGATCATGCTGTGACTATCCTATTTACTTTATAGTGTCATAACCTCAGAATCATATAGCTGCAAAGAGAAATCACTACGCTGCTAAGTGCTGATAGATACACTGATAGATATAAGTAGGTTCATACATTGAGCTCTCAACTCCATCACTGTGCTTATATATGACGAAACTGCAAGAGAAAAACTCCCACGAACCAGTGAGAAAGGAAAGGAAACGTAATCTTATTAGCACCTCAGAACTTACATACAGTAAAATTATTTCATTACGTTAACAAACCTGTTGCATCTATAGCTGAACAAACATGGAGGACACTATCGTTTAAAAAGAAAGAAAGAACAAAAGAAAACAACATTCGAGTTCTTTATTCTTGCCTATTTTCCTGCACAAACAGCTTACCATTGCTTAATTTGAAGAAAATAAAGCAGAGCCATTCCTAAAAACAATTATCTCCTTTGATGGATCTGAGGATCCCAAGACCTACAATTTCACGTATCTTTTCACAATCTTCAATGTACAGAGATTTCAGGCTTTTGAAGTTCGATAGGTCTGGCAACTTTTCGACAGATTTGCAGCCAATAATTCTCAAGTTCTCCAAGGACTCTAACTGGTCAAGGCCTTCAATGTCAGTTATCTTCTCGCAACTCTCGATCTCCAAGTCCTTCAGCTTCTTCAAGTTTGACAAGTCTGGTAGTCTCTCCAAGGATCTGCACTCCGAAATCTGCAATTCCTCCAGGGATTCCAATCTGTCAAGCCCTCCAATATCCTTGATCTTATCACAATTCTTAATTTCCAGAATTTTCATCCTTTTCAAGTTTGACAAATCAGGTAAACTCCCAATGGATCTGCATTCGGATATCTGCAGCTCTTCCAATGACTCCAATTTATCAAGTCCTTGGATCTCGAGCAACTTCTCACAGTCTCGCAGCTTAAATTCTTTCAGC